TTTCAAAGTCTGAGCGCCTGAGTTAGGTACATCTTGATGATATAGGTAGTTGGCTACAGTACCAACACCGGTGTTCTTTTATTATTTTTATGTGAAGGAGCAAATCTGAGTTGACCCATGTCGAAGGATGCTTGTTTCTTTCTATTTCTTCTACTTACTTATTTCACTTCTGTTTTTGTTTTCTTATTAAATAGTTGTGTAGGTAATAGGTATGTATACTTTTTATTTATTTAGGTACAGTACGCGAATGAGTTCATGACCATGTTGAGGAATGCGGTAGTGCTGTGACTAATTCATGTTGATGTCGATATCGAGAATTGTTGCCGAACAGTTCAGTTCAGACTACTCATAGTTATTAGTTAATGGGTTGCTTTTCCTACAATATTGAGCAGGTAGGGTATCGTTGAATAGGTCTTTATAAACTAAGGGCAGGTTTCTTTAAAACAAAGTAACTAAAATGTATATGCCTCGAGACATTTGCTTATTAAAGGGGCCTTTTTAGCCATAGTTTGTTCGAACTGTAACTTCACTGTTTGTGAATAGGTAATATTAAAGAAGTATTTATGGTTTCTACACAAAACACAACACAACGACAAAATATCGACAACTTTGTGACACACTTTTTTCCCATCACTCGACTGCGGGCGAATGCGGGTAGTTGGGTAACCGCGGGGCGCGCCGCCCCCGCGCGCCTCCTCATTCCCCGATGGCCAAGAACTCATTCGCGTACTGTACCTACCTACCAACAGAGACCTGCAGGAGCGGCCCATCAAGCTGTACATATTTTTTTTGTAGCTGTTTCTAAGACACGCTATCGAAATGTTCTTTTGAAAACGATTGCAGGGGTACTTGACACCGACCTGTAACAGTTTTAATACATGTACATACAGATTTCTGTACTATCGCCAGCAAATCCACATACCCATTTAAGACACACACTAACTGTATGCCCCGCCCTCATAACTTCGTCATTTTCAATCGATCGACATCTTTGATGTGAAGATAGATCGTGAGGGAAAGAGGCGTGATTGTATGTATGATCGTGTTGCTTGACACAAATTTAGAATGTTGGGAAAAAATGTTTTTATTTTTTGGCGTAGGTGCATGTGAAAGGAGGATAAAAAAACCATCTGCTATATTAAGTAGGGTATCGTTAAATAGATCTTTGAAAATTAAGGCGAGGTTTTTTTAAAAAAATCACAAAAGTGATTCTGCCTCGAAGTATTTGCTTTTATGGGGAGTTTTCTCTTCATAGAACTAAATATTTGAAAAAAAAAATTAGTTCTTAGTCTGAAGTTACCATAAAAACTATATCGGATACTGTATCCACGCAAGTTTTAAGAAAAATAAAAGTTTATTAATTTGTGGTTCGTAAGCATACTTAGGTACTACTGCAAACAAACCAGCAACGAATAGGTAACTTCGTAACGCTGATATTTAAAATTGACTACAAACCCTATTTGTGGGCGTGTCTGACACGCTCTTGGCTGGTTTTTTATTTTGCTTTACTATACTTTGGTACGTGTTCGAATCTCGACTCCAATATGGGAGTAAAAAAAACTGCAAATATTGTAAGGGGTGAACCAGTTCAAGAAACTTTTAGTAGATATCATAAGGGCGCAAAACAACACTTCTACGGCGAGGGCGCTTTTTTGAATTCAGAGCGAAGTAAGGGATTCTAGAGTAGAATCCCCGAAGCCAAAATATATTTTGCGCCCGAGTAATTCACTCTACTTTTCATCACCCTCTATTAGAAAATAAAAGGCGCCTCATATTTTATTGCAATGTTATACTTTCACTGCCACTTGAACTAATTTTTCAAAAAGTTTAATAAAATTCTAACATACGTGTAATTTTTGGTGAAAATTACGGACTGTAATTCGCGCGTATCTTTTTTTTAGTTCTATTCACAGATGAACCTAAATATGTAGGGTTCTATTGGGGACGCGCGACTATGGGCCGTCGTCCCATACAGCCTTTATTCGAACAATATTTTCGTTCTATTTCTTTTGCGCTGACTGAACATCAAGATGTTCTAAATTCAAAGTAGTTTTATTCGCATTTGTTGAGTTCTTTATTTAAAAAGTGCAAATAAAAGAACTTTGCGGCGCGTTCTTTTCGAATAGATACCTAGCATGGTATAATAAGATACTCCGCCTGGTATTTCTTTCCGAGACTCGTGAACCACGTGACCAACACAAGACTACGTCATCATGCTTGTGGGTTACCAGAATTACCCACTCTTATGATGTTTTTTGTAAATCATATAAGATACTGTTAACTAATAAATAAAATTTAAGTGTTGCTGTAGAGTTAAAGTTAATACACACGTAAATCTAAATTATAAAATTATTAAGAAATATTTTAACCCATTGTTCAGAGATTGAATTTACCCCATAACGTATTTTATTGAAATAAAGTGGCAATGGCAATACTAAGTGACGTTGACTTGTGTTTCTCTGGGAAGGAAAGACCATAGGTAGTTCAAAATACGGGGTGTTAGGGACGGTGTAACGAAAACTTTGCAGGCGTACTCAGACCATCAAACTGAACAACTTTCACTATGGAGCCAATGGTGGAAAACGAAAAAAAATTTCTGACCTCCCATACAAAATTTTTCGTCACACCTTCCCTAACACCCTGTATAAGGAGTAAAAAAAATTACTGCAAATATTATAAGGAGTGAACCAGTCCATGAAACTGAACAACTTTCCCCAGGGAACATAGGTCGAATAATGAAAAAAAATTCCGACCTCCCATACGAGTAGTTTTTTTTACATCTTATAGCAACTTATTCCTCTACCGCGCACGCAACGCACGCAATATCGATTTACGTGCAAACTTATTTCAAGTATAGTGGCAACCCCCCCTTTTAGGGGTCGAATTTTTTTAGCCTATAACCTGGTCGGTAATTTTCCCGACATTTTGGAATAATTTGCATCAAAATCGGTTCAGTCGTTTTTGCGTGATGCTTTCACATACAAACAGATAAACAAATAAACAGATAAACAGAAAAAAAATCTAAAAATTGCTGAAACGTGTTCTGTTATCAATTTTAAGTATCACCAAACAGTTTTTTTTCGAAAATCTTCTATGTACAGACTTTCGACCCTCTACAACTTTATTATATGTATAGATATGGCATGTTGAAGGCGCACGTAAATTTGTCGCAAAACTACTAATGATTAAAAAAAAAACCGGCCAAGAGCGTGTCAGACACGCCCACAAATAGGGTTTCGTAGTCAACGTTTAAATATCAGGTTTTTCAGCATTACAAACTTAATTTTGTTGCTGGTTTGTTAGCAGCAGTATGATGACCAAACGCAAATAGAAAAACTCATTTTTTTCTGAAACCTTAAAGGGTACAATATCTGTTATAGTTTTCATTGTAATTTCAGAATGTAAGCTATATTCCATATTTATTTCAAATTTTTAGCGTTTATACTTTAGAAGTTACAGCTGGAACAAATTATGGGTCAAAAACGCCCTTTTTAAACGCAAATATCTCGTGACAGAAACATTTTAGTGACTTTGTTTCAAAGAAACCTCACCTTAGTTTTCAAAGACCTATTCAACGATACCCTACTCAATATTACAGAAGAAAAAAAATTTTTTTTGCCCCACTTTCACTTGTATGGGAGGGGGTCCAAAAAACATTTAATATAATTTTTTCTTAACATTTCTATATTTGGGTCAACACGATCTATTTTCACACCAAATTTGATGTCGATAGCTTCAAAACTGACGAAGTTATGAGGGCGCGGCATACAGACAGACAGACAGACAGACAGACATGACGAAACTATAAGGGTTTCTAGTAGACTACGAAACCCTAAAAATGAGTATTTTCTCCACAGTAAAATCAAATGTATTTATTGCAGTAGTAGCTCCATCTATTTTCGTAAAGTGGCGTAGGTAGGTATCAGTTTTTTCGATAAAATCTGATGGTTATTTTTTTTGTCAGTTTATAAATGAAAATGTTACTATACTTATAAACACGGGACTTCCCGTCGAGTTTTTTACCAGACTTGTCTTCTTTATAGACGTAAGTCCATGAAACTTTGGAATGAGAATGGAACGCCTTAAGGCGCAAGCCACACAGAGTAGACGTCAGACAGCTGATCGTCAGCCGTCGTCATCGATGCGAAGCGCGTCTCATGTGCGTAGCTTTGCCTCTTTTGTTTCATACATTTTACATAAAAACGATTTCAAGTGTCGCAATGGTGTCTCACGTCTACTTTGTGGGGCTTGTCATATCAAAAACCTACTAGAAGTATTGAAAAACCCTTACACCAGGGTTCATTGGGTCGATGTCTCATCACACACACACGATAGGTACAGGAAATAAAAAAGAAACTTACCTAGACACAAAGTAATTAACAATACACCCACGAAACTATACACTCGACGCGTCATATTTTCACAAGTAACAGAAATACATCTTTCATAAGAAAATTACTTTATTAAGGCGTGGTACTACATGATTTACATTACAACATTGTGTTTGACATTAGTACGAGTTTCATACTGACTAGGTGAAGTTTGTCAACTAATAGGGTGACCATGATGCCGCGCATAGGCAGAATCTACATGAATATTAAAGCCTAATTACCTACCTACATTGGCATAAGCAAGTAAATAGCTTCATCGTATGGTTCTGAATTCAAGGACTTATCAAACAACTATTACTAGATGTCGCTAAAATCGTCGCTTTGAGACGAGCATCAAGAGGTTGAAAACTGTTTGATAGAAACTGTATTCATTTGGAAATAAGGTGGAGAATCGAACAAACGACGCAAAACCCCGTTTCTCACCTAAAATCAACTACGCTTTTTCAAACTTTCTCTACCGACGAGAGAATGAAATTGTGCCTCATGACGACAACAAACAAATGAATAATTATGAGAGTCATAGATGGCGCTAAGCTACCCGTAAGTAGTCAAGTGACAAAAAATATATGAACGAAGCAAGTGGAACACAATTTCGCCGCCTGGGTTAGAGCCTCCGTGGTGTAGCTGTCAACACGTCTGACCCGGGGCTTGTCAGAAGACGTGGGTTCGAATCCCATCGGTGGCGTGAATTTTTTCCACTTGCTTCGTTTGTATTAACTTTGTAACCAAAAAGTTAATAAACAAATAAAAAATAAAATTAATAATTAGACTACCCTATACCTACAAGGTTCCGAGATGATGACGTCACGACTCACAAGGCACGATTCATATTCTCGACAATACAAAAAGTTTAAAAAGCGTACCTAGTTGATTTCACATCTCTGGCAATACTAGACTGATTATGATAAAATAAAAACTGAAGTAGGTAATTTAAATTAAAAGCAGTAGATATAGTTTTAAATGTGCTGCTTATTTTGATCAAATTGTATCGTCCATTGCAGACCGTATTTGTATCCTCGTGGATATATTCATGGTCACCCTACTAACATAAGGAAAGGCGTAAATTTTCCTGATTTACGAATAATTTATTAGTATCATCCTCATTATGTCATAATTTTATAATAGGTTATGTATTACTAAAATTGTTTATCATCTGTCTTTACCATGTGAAGCCAGCTTAGTATTTAGTATTTATTTAAGGGTAGTAATAAAAGCTCCGATAATAAATTCAGAAATGTCCTTACTAAAAATATTATATTTACTGCCTAAAATACTAAACTTCCGACTACTTTTTTCCGACTAAAAATTACAAAACGACCGAACGATATACTTAAATCTCGGAAAAAATCATGTGACTGTTAGTTGCTGTAATACTTTTTTACCATATAAAATTATGTTCTACTGATAACAATGCTTTGTAATTTTTACCTTTACCTGCCAACTAGTAATTCATCAATTACATTTCATTTTTCATAAACTCTGTGCTAGTTTTACTGCAACGTTATACTTAAATTTACTATTGTTGGCGCTTATACAGAAAGTTATTATAAATACAAAAATGTACTTACTATAATCATGAAATTTGGTTACTACAGGGACAAGAATAAAATGAAATTAGCTAAAATATTGATTAATCAGTAGTAGAAAATGCCTTACTTTATTTGTTCTTATGAGCTAAAATAAAGAGGTAAGTAGTACCTAATCTTAATGATATTTTCACGTTATATAGGTATTCATTGAAATTAATAGCCGATTTGACAGCCGATGTGGCGCGGTGGTTAGTATGACTGCCTGCCACGCAGATGGTTCCGGGTTCATTTCCCGGTGGGGTCACTCACAATCTCACAAAGTTTATATTTATCACTTAATGAATTTGTTTCTAGTCGGCTTAGGACATTGCAGGCTTGAACCACCTGATTGTCCGAAAAGCAAGATGGTTCCGTGCTTCGGATGGGCACGTTAAGCCGTCGGTCCCGGTCGCTGTCTATGATGGCGGTCATTACACAACCATGTGAAAGGCCTGCTACTTGCAGTAGGCGGTTGAAAAACTCTGACACCAGGGTCTATCGGGTTGTTGAACGACTCGGTGTCCCACACAAAAAAAGAAAGAAAGAAAAGATTGAAGTTATAAGAGCAGTTCTAGTCTAGATTTAGTAGGGCTACCCTGTTTTCTTTTTGTCCTATAGGTAGTGGTGTCCTATAGGTTCACTTCCAAAGGCGGAGTCGCGAGTTTCAGTCTGATAGCGAGCCCAAGAAGGTACAAATGTATTTATTGTTAAACTGCGGGCAAGTGCAGGATCCTTTTCTCCAATCTACATTTTCGGTTCCGTTTTTTCGGTATTTTCATCATTATTGAAAGTAAAAAAATATATTTGTTAACCAACAATAGAAAATTAAATCACTCATAAAAGTCGTAAAAGAATGATTATTTTGACATGACCTCTGTTGTCAGTAACCTAGTAATCTTGTCGGAGGTTCAGTATTTTATTCGGAAGTTTAGTTCTGTTATTCGGAGTTTAATATATTTTTAACTTAAAATATTATTTGATTGTGTTCATAGCTGTTAGTTAAATTTATTTATTTTATTCGGTATGCTTTGGATTTTTTTGTCGGTATTTTATTATAACGCTGGTAAATTAGAATAATAGTCGGACAGAGACAGCAGGAGATTCATTTATTTGTCGGAACCATTATTATTTCCCTTTATTTAATCAGTTCAGTTACAACGGTACAAGCCAATTACAGTAATTGTTAGAATAGTATCACTCCATTGCTTCTTATCCCGGCAAATAAAATATCATCATAACACAAAATCTGGTTGGCGATTGTAAAAACTCTGACACGGATGCCGTATTGGACGACTTGGTGTCACAAATTAGGGAAACGGCGCGCGGGGGGGCGGCTTTACAGATGGCTCACTCAGTACTAGCGACGATTTTGACGCTTACTGGCTTTAACTGGAAATAACGGGAATAATATCCTTGCTTGAATCTTAGGGGAAGTCAAGGTAACTAAGATGGTTGTCACGTCATAACATAACATAATAGTAGTAGTTTATGCAATTGCCTTATAATGAGAGGCTTTAGGATGTGAGTGTCTGTGTGATAATAGTTTGACACGAGCATTCTAAAGCCTAATTATATGCAGTTGCATACACTATTTTATCTGTCTACACTCTACAAGAAAAACTATGAAAAATAATTCAAACCTCCGCACTCCACTATGGCGATTGCAATTATTGCAAGCCTATCTACTGAACCACCAACTGAACGACTTTTGTATATAAGTAATTCTTTAACTAAACGTTAAAATGGAGGCTCATAAAAACATAACAGCTTTTAAAATTAAAAAGCTTATTTTATCGGTAAATTTTAATTCGAAACATGATTTGAAGCAAAGATTTAATAATAAATAAGTCCTCATATTTCAAGTTTCGTCCCACCCGGGTGACATCTATTTTTTTTTACTCACTGTTGGCTCAGGAAATAAAAAAGCGGCATAACCGTTTAACTTTTTTCGAAATACTGGGCATTACGTTCCCTTACGATTCAAATTTATTTTTTAATTTAGTAAGGAATTTATTTTTTAAGTCTGCATACTTCTTAATGCAGTTCATAACGTTCTTACTTTCGATTCTGTAAAACGAATATTACGAGATGAGGGTAGATAAAATTCTTTATCTACACTCAGTTCGTAATATTCGTTTTACTGAATCGAAAGTACGAACGTAATGAACTGCATTACGAATATACAGCCTTTAAAAAAAAACTTTCATACTACTGGCAGCTACATAAAGTAACTCGATTTCTAGTATTTGAAAAAAAATTAAACGAATTGACCCGCGTACCAAATTGTAATCTGTTCCAATTTGACACTGGCCATCAGTAAGTCGAATGAAAAAAAAAACAAGTGTCACCCGCGGCGGGGCGACACTTGAAATTATGAGGACTTATTTATTACTAGCTGGTACCCGCGAACTTCGTTTCGTTTCATTCCTTACACCTTTGCAAAATTCTTATTTCCACACCAGCATCCTAAAAAAGATACTCTGGATATTCATCACGCTAATATTGTTGGAACTACATTTCTCAAACCATAATCGCATTGCCAACAGATGCCAGTAGATGCGTTCCATCATACTGAACAACTTTTGCTTTGGGGCCATTTCAATATCTCTTATAGTTTAGCTGGGCTCCTGTTGGTGCACCTGGTGGTCTACATCAGGTACTACAAACCTTCGATATCTATTCGCCAGCTGAAGTGCCCTTCAAGCTGAACAATTTTTGCTTTGAAGTCATATCTGTATCTCCTATTGTTCAGCTGGGCTCCTGTTGGTGTACCTGATGGTTTACATCAGGTACTCCAAACCTTCGATGTATTTCCGCCAGCAGAAGCGTCCCATCAGGCTGAACAACTTTTGTTTTCGAGTCATATCTGTATCTCCTATAGCTTACCTGGGCTCCTGTTGGTGCACCTGGTGGTCTACAGCGGATACTCCAAACCTTCGTTGTCTATTCGCCAGCAGAAGCGTCCCATCAATCTGAACAACTTTTGCTTTGGAGTCATATCTGTATCTCCTATAGTTTAGCTGGGCTCCTATTGGTGCACCTGGTGGTCTACATCAGGTACTCCAAACCTTCAATGTCTATTCGCCAGCAGAAGTGCCCCATCAAGCCGAACAACTTTTGCTTTGAAGTCATATCTGAATCTCTTATAGTTAGCCTGGCTCTTGTTGGTGCACCGGGTGGTCTACATGAGGTACTCCATACCTTTGATGTCTTTTCACCAGCAGAAGCGTCCGATCAAGCGGATCACCTTTTGCTTTGAAGTCATATCTGTATCTCCTATAGTTTAGCTGGACTCCTGTTGGTGCACCTGGTGGTTTACATCAGGTACTCCAAACCTTCGTTGTCTATTCGTTAGCAGAAGCGTCCCATCAAGCTGAAAAACTTTTGCTTTGGAGTCATATCTGAATCACTTATAGTTTGGCTGGGCTCTTGTTGGTGCACCTGGTGGTCTACATGAGGTACTCCAAACCTTCGTTGTCTATTCGCCAGCAGAAGCGTCGCATCAAGCTGAACAACTTTTGCTTTGAAGTCATATCTAAATCTCTTATAGTTAGGCTGGGCTCCTGTTGGTGCACCTGGTGGTCTACATCAGGTACTCCATACCTTTGATGTCTTTTCACCAGCAGAAGCGTCCGATCAAGCGGAACAACGTTTGCTTTGAAGTCATATCTGTATCTCCTATAGTTTAGCTGGATTCCTGTTGGTGCACCTGGTGGTCTACATGAGGTACTCCAAACCTTCAATGTCTATTCGCCAGCTGAAGCGCCCTATCAAGCCGAACAACTTTAGCTTTAGAGTCATATCTGTATCTCCTATAGTTTACCTGGGCTCCTGTTGGGGCACCTGGTGGTCTACAGCGGATACTCCAAACCTTCGTTGTCTATTCGTTAGCAGAAGCGTCCCATCAAGCTGAACAACTTTTGATTTGGAGTCATATCTGAATCACTTATAGTTTGGCTGGGCTCCTGTTGGTGCACCTGGTAGTCTACATGAGGTACTCCAAATCTTCTATGTTTTTTCACCAGCAGAAGCGTCCCATCAAGCAAAACAACTTTTGCTTTGGAGTCATATCTGTATCTCCTATAGTTTAGCTGGGCTGTTGGTGGTGATTCTGATG